CTGGGTATTACGACCCCGTCTGGGCAGCGGGACCCGCCTGGATATTGCGACCCCGCTGGGGCAGCGCGGGCGGCGACCCCTCAGACCTGCGTCCTCGGTCCGACTGGGCGCCTGAAGGGAAGGTGTGGACGGGAGCGGGGCCCGCGCGCGGTGACGCTTGGGAAACAAAGTTTCCTTGCAGAAGGTGTGCGCGAGGCAAAATGCAGACCTTTCCAGGCGAAGCTGGCAGGACGGTGCCCGGCTTCTCCCTCTCCTTTCTCCTCCCTGGCACGGCTGAGGCTTGACTTCTCCGGCTCAGACCTTCTCAGTATGGCACTTTCAGATCTTTGGGGGGCTGTGTGTTGCGGCGGCAGCTGAGTATCCCTGACCACCTAAAAATAGGATGTAGTCATTGAAGAGGGCAATGTTCATAAATAGTATGGCCCGAGTGGTTTTGCACATTTAGTCTTTTTCTATTTCACAACATTAGGACATAGTTAGCCACTTTAAAAAAAAAAAAAAAAAAGCTCTACATCGTATTATGGGGTTTGGAAGAGTCCCTGTTTATTCAGATAAGAATCTACTGATAGGGTTTTTGTCGCCAGACTCCTGTGCTGTTAAGTGGGATTTTTTATTGTGCTTTGTGAGCTAAACCGAACTGAATTCATGTTCAAATTAACTTTTTCTAGCTTGTAGGCTTTTAGGGTGAAAAGATCATTTACAGAGAACACCTAAATATTGATGAGGCTGGGGAGCGGCAGACTAGCCTAGAGATATAGAACACAGACTGTGATTGCTCACCAGCAGCTAGAGTTTGAATTGTGCCTTTGTAACCTGCATGGTCTTGGAAAGGATGAGTTTTTACCACAGGTTCCTAGAAAGTCAGAGAAAAACGGAAATGGATGGCTTTGCTGCTGGGGTTATCCTTTGAGTCACAGAAGCTGGAGAGACTAAGGAAATCTAAACTTGCAGCGATCTGTAACTTGATTTGAGTAGTTCCAGGAAGTTTGTTGGATGCCTTCTGTGTGCCTAGCTGGTGATTTGGCAATGAAAACGCCTGTTACACTGAGCCCATCTGCGGTGGAGTTTTCACACTTGGGGCTCGCGTCCCCCTGCTCCCTGAAGTGAGTGCCCTCCTTTTTCAGGTCTAGGCTTCCATGACAGTCCTGAGAAATCCCTTCCTGACCACCCTACCTGACCAGGCCTTTGGAGCCTACTCGCTCCTACCGCCCTGTGCAGGTATTTGTTATCATGTAAAACCAGCTAGTTTTCTTATATACCGTCAGTAGCCTTCACTCATCGGCCTGTATCTGTAGCATCTGAAGGCAGGTGTCAGTTGTGGCTCTAGGCACTGGACGTAGCTGTGCTAGCCGGCGTTTGTGGAATGAGGATGATGACTCCTGTTATCTTCATGGCTCAGGGATGGGGAAGGAGGAGGGAGTAACAGACCACATTCTTGATACAGTGAAGAGTTGTGATAAGGGAAGCCCAGAGGAGAGCAGGGGAGTCCAACCTGCATTTGCAGAACAGCCCGCAGTTCTGCCCCAGGGAAAGAAAACTCTTACATTGACCATTGAGGACTCCATAGGCCTTGACAAAGGAAGCAGTGTGCCAGGTGACAGAAATGGTGTGTGCGAGGATCCAAAGAAAAAGAGGTCTGTGTGGCCCAGCCCTTGTCCTGGAGGCTGAGAAGCCCTGTGAGCACTGACTGCTGCTCCTATCCGACAGACGCGGTGTTGCTTCTCGCTTACTCCACCTTTCCACTACTCAACATGGCTGTTTTTCTTCTTCCAGTTGAAGGAAAAATTAGCATTTTTGAAAAGGGAATACACCAAGACTCTGGCCCGTCTTCAGGTAAGTGAATTGTACGCTCTCAGATTAAGATATTGGGCTGGGCATGGTGGTGCACACCTGTAATTCCAGCACTCAGGAGCTGAGGCCGGAGAATAATTGAAAGTTCGAGACCAGCCTGGGCTACAGAGTGAGCTCAAGGCCAGCCTGAACTGCACAGTGAGACCTGTCTCAAGAAGACAAAAAGGGCTGGGGAGATAGCAGTCTAAGCGTTGCCTGGCAAGTGCAAGGACCAGAGTGCGCTCCCTGGTACTGCATGCCATGCCGGCCACCAGAACCAGGCATGGTAGCACATGCCGTAATCCCAGTGCTGGGAGGCTGAGACAGGAGGATCACTATGAGTCCGAGCTATATAGTGAGACCCTGTGTCCAGTACGTAAATTTTAAAAAATAAAATAAATTTTGAAAAAAGGTATCGCACAGTTTTTAAAAGTTTCTGACAATAGCAAAACGCTAAAAGACGCTTCTGTCTTGCGCTTCTTTTGTTTTCTGCAGCGTGCCCAAAGAGCTGAGAAGGTGAAGAGTTCCAGTAAGAAAACGGTTGAACCAGATTGCTCGCTGCAGCGTAAAATCTCACCCCAGCTAGACAGTGCGGGTAAATCTGGTGTAGTCGCTTATGCTCGCTTCGTTACTCGTGTTTTAAGTGCATTTATTTGTCTGTCGTTCTTTCCCCACAGCCAGTGGATCAGAAGCAATGGAATGGGCTTGGGAGATGGCTCAGTAGAATAAGTGCTTGCCTGGCAAGCCCAAGGGCCTGAGTTCAATCCCCGGTTCTAAAAAAAAAAAAAAAAAAAAAAGCCAGAAACAATGGATTTCTAGCTTTACATAAAATTCCTATGTCATAAATTAGAGCAATGAACTATACTTCCATTTGGGTTGTTCATGTAGTTGCATATTTTTCTTTGACTCTTAAAAACTATGTTTCAGGTTTAAATATTAGGATAACTTTTTAAAAAAAGTATCCACATACGCACTGAGAAACATATTCTTGGGGGCCGGGGAGATGGCACAGTAGAAAAAGTGCTTCCCTGGCAAGTGCTAGGGCCTGAGTTCAATCCCCAGTGCCGCAAAAAAAAAAAAAAGAAAAGAAAAGAAACATATTCTTTAAAAAGCCATGGTTAAAAAAAAAAAAGCCATGGTAAACTGGGCGTGGTGGCGCACACCTATAATCCTACTATTTAGGAGGCTGAGACAGGAGGATCACTGGGGGTTCAAAATTTTTAAGATAAATTTTTTTTAAAAAGAGGGCTGAAGAGATAGCTCAGTGACATAAGTGCCTGCCTAACAAGTATAAGGTCCTGAGTTTGATCCTTGGTACCAAAAAATAAATTAAAAAATAAATAAAATTTTAAAAAGGTATTGTACAGACAGTACAGTAAAGATACAATACAGTCTGGGCTACAAAGTGAGCTTAACACCAATCTCAACTGTGTAGCGAGACCCTGTCTCAAAAAACAAAAACGGGGCCGGGGAGATGGTTCAGTACAATAAGTGCTCGCCTGGCAAGCAAGGGCCTGAGTTCAATCCCCGGTTCCACCAAAAAAAAAAAAAAAAGGAAAGGAAAAAAAAAAAAGAATAAATAACCTAAAAAGCAATAGTAATGCAAAGCTGGAAGAAGAAGAGGGAGGGCAGAGGACAAAGAATGGAGATGTCTGGTATCTGTGCAAAGAACCCACGCAGCAGGTGTGGTCATCGTGCCCTGCAAATCAGCAGCTACTGAAGTAAGAAAGTAGTTCTGGAGTTACTTAAGCAAAAGTGAAAAGGGAAGGACAAAACAAAAAAGAAAGAAAGCTGAGGAAATACTAAGTGGGCGCGGGGGGCTGTGGACTTCAGTGGCCGCGCCTGTGCTTGGCAGCCACGGGGCGCTCGGTTCGGTCCTGGCAGCAGCAGAAGTTAGGTGAGATTAAGAAAAGTTTTTAAAGATGATTGAGATTTAAAAAAAAATTTGAAGACCTCTTTAGCACAGCATTATTTGTTTATTTTTACTTAAAATTCTTAGGTGGTTTTTTGTTTTTTGTATCAGGAATTGAACTGAGGGCCGTGCGGCTGCCAGGCAGGACCTCACCCTTGCCAGGCAGACACTGCACCACTGAGCTGTATCGTTGGCACAGTTGTGAGAATGTTTGAGACTCGAACCTTGGTCTACTTGAATGAAATGTTTCTGAGTCTTTTTAAAACAAATGTTTAGAAATATAGATAGATATGTGTGTATATATAAAGCTTTTATTTTATATATTTTTACAATGTCGAGAATTGAATCCAGGGCCTCAAACATACGAGGCAAGTATTACACCAGTGAAGTACATCTTCGGCCCTATTGTGTATGTGTGTGTGTGTTTCTTCTTGAGACAGGGTCTTGCTGTGCAGCTCAGGCTGGTTTTGAACTTGCTGTGTAGCTGAGGCTGGCCTCAAACTCTGTGGCAATCCTCCTGCTTCAGCCTCCCGAATGCTAAGATTACAAGCATGTGCCACCATGCATGACTGCCTTAAATATTTTGAAATATGTGGAGTTTTTGTTTGATGTTAAAAAGAAACTTAGTCACATTTTTTTCTCTTCAGAACCTAAAAAGGAAGGATCTCCTTGTGGAAAAGTACAGATCAGTACCCATCTGGACAAGGAAACTGGAGAAAAGACATCAGTGACACTTGACCGTGAACCTGGGGCTTTTAGCTATGAAGATGGCCTGGGAGAAGGGTTATGTTTACACAGGCCAGGTGGCACCCGAGAACGTTCACCCCGCAAGGTCCCTGATCCTGTCGGTGAAGAAAGACCCCCTGAGCCGCCCGGGAGACATCTGCAGCCAAGGAGGACACTGACTTCCCAGGGAAGAGAAGGCTGCCATGAAGCCAGCTCGCTCATGCTGTCTCACGAGAGATCAAGGAGACAGGAAGCAGTCAGTAACAAAAGTCCTAGGCTATCAGCAGCTGCAGAAACTCACCTTTCAAGTCCTGAATCTGAAATTCCAGATTTTTCGGCACCAGTTTCAGAAGCTGACGGGGAGTGTGAATCAATTCCACCAACTGCCAAGTCGGAAAGAGGTGTTGATGTGTCCTCAGGAGGGAACAGTGCTTTCAAGGAGCCTGCAGTTCCTTTGCATGCTTTATCAGACAGCAGCAAGAGGCAGCGTCTTGAACGCATGCCTCCGGAAGGTCACTATGGACTTACTTCTCAGGGGGTGAAAAATATTAAGCCTATTTCACCCATAAGCCTGGAAACACAAGGCACGAAAATGACTGTCTGCACAGACAGTTCGGTATTAGATGAAGCTGGGAGTACAAGGAGCCAGCAGCCCGCAGGTCCTAATTTAGAGAGCAGTTGTGCAGGCTCTGTAAATGAACTTGCCCAGAGCAGCTCAGCAGCAGGTGAAATCCGCGCTGTAAATGAAGACAGTCACACGGAGAAGTCTCTCACATCGCCCGGAGATAGTCTCAGTAGTAGAAGTGTCAATCTTGAGGCAGATGAACTTCCAAGCCGACCTAAAAATCGTAGCCTGCAGGCAGTCGCTACCGTGTGTGCGGAAAATCCAGTGCACTCCTGCACGGTGCTTGAAGGCCTCGTCTTTCCTGCGGAGTACTACGTGAGAACAACGCGCCGCATGTCCCGTGAGCAGAGGAACGCGGCCCTGCAAGCTGTGATTCAGAATCATTTGGGCATCAAGAGGAAAGGGTTTAAAAATAAAGTTAAGGAAGCAACTAAAGGTATAAAGCTTTCCAACGAAGAAACTGGTGAGAGTGAAGTTAGGATGTCAGCCTCAAGCCCAGCTCTCCCAACTTCAGAAAGCCCTCTGGAGTTTATCTCATTACCTGAAGTCAGCTCTGCTCCTGGACCCGCTGGCGGTGAGGACTATTCTAGGAAAGCTGTTTCGCAGCCCTGCAATAGAAAAAAAAGAAAATCAGCCAGTCCCTCAGCTCTCGACCACCATAAGCTGCTTCTGCCAGCTTCCGGCACTTTCTCTGCTAGTGCGTCCGAGGAAGAAGTCACATTGCACAAGCATCAGGATGGAAAGGCAGATACGCGTGGTAGGAGGAGAGGTAAGGGCAAGGAAGGTTGTGTGTAACAGTGCTGATGCTGCCGGTGCGCAGCCAGGCTCCCTGGCGCAGGCCTGAAATCCCGTTGCTGTGGGAGGGTGATGCGGGAACACGATCGTGCAAGCCTGGCGGGCGCAACTGAGTGACTTAGTAAGACCCCAACTCAAAGTAAAAGGTGGGCTGGGGCTTTACTAGTGGGAAGGCCCTGGCTTCAGTGGTTCGGAGGCCGGTACCACCACACACACCACTCACAGCCCACAGTGCTACACAGATAATAACTCGCTGACTCACCCCAGCAGCCCCACCCAAGATGGCCTTGTTTTTATCTTCACATCCAGATGACAGGAAGGCATGGGGAATTGACTTTTTTCTTTTTTGGTACCAGGAAGAATTGAACTCCGGACCTTGTGCTTGCAAGGCAGGCACTGAGCCACTGAGCTATCTCCCTGGCCCAGGGAATTGACTTTTAATTAATTAGAATGATACCAGATATCACTAATGTGATTTTTAAAATTTATTTTTCCTTTACTAATGAGATTGAAAAAGTTAACACTACAAAGAAAAATATGCTGGGTGCTCACTAAAATCAGTGTCTGTTCAGCTACAGTATATAATTCTTTGCGGGTAGAATTTTTACGTATCTTAGAGAATCCAGGCCTGTGGGTGTGGCTCAGTGGTGGGAAACTTGTCTACACTGAGAGTCCACTGAAAAGCTCTTAGAAGTGATTAATGTTGCAAGTTTGAGACCAGCCTGGGCTACAAAGTGAACTCAAGGCCAGCCAGACCCTGTCTCAGAAAAGAAAAAAAGATCATGTAATGCAAAGGCCTGAACAACCTTTTAGATCATATATAATATTGTACGCTATATTGTGTATACTAGTGTATAATATATAATCCATATATAATATGTACTAAATATGCTAGTGTGTATCTTATATACCAGTATATATTATATGTAATACTCCGACTTGTAGTGATCCTCCTGTCTCAGCTTCCCCAGCACTAGGATTACAGGCGTGTGCCACCATGCCCAGCTTCAGTGGGCAGCACAGCATGCCTAGATTCTGCGGCCAGCATAGCATGTGGTACTAGGAATTAAATCAGGGTCTTCGCACTCGCCAGGCAGGTGCTTAGACCACCAAGCTATCTCCCCAGCCCTAGATCTAATACATAATGCAACCTTTGCAGTCTGTGGAGCACACAGTTTTGGAAGATAGCAAGTAAAGATAGAATTAACTTTTTTCATCTTTTTTTGTACTTTAGGGAAGGGTCTACAGGGTGTTCAGGGTCTCACTGCTAGATCGGACTCCTAGTGATCCGCCTATTTACAGCCTCCTAAGCTCTGGAATTACAGGTGCGCACCACACCCAGTCTCAGTCTCAGTCTCAGTCTCATCTCAGTGCACCCAGGGGTGCAGCCAGCACGGCCTTCTGGGGGTTGAACCCTAATCCCTGTGTCTGCCTAAGCAGGCTCTTTAATCTGCTGAGCTATCTGGCCAGCCCAATTAATTTAATAATGAATTTCTTTCTTTCTTTTTTTTATGAATTTCTTTCATTGTAAGAAAGTTGTGTCCAGAAGGAGCTTGCCTGTAACAGCACTTCTTTCCTTTTGTGGCAGAGTAACACTGCTCCTTGTGTGGCCCACGTGTCTAGCCATTCATCGTTTGATGCAGTTACATCTTAAATATGATAGGATTGCAGGCACAGCAACAAAGCACTTCTTGGAAAGAGAACCAAGTTCTTGTGTGAGAAGAGCTAGCGTTTTGTGGATTATCCTCCAGTAGCCTGCTGGAGTCTTTTTCTTGGAGACCATCTCTCTGGGTAGCCTGGGCTGGCCTGGAAGCCTGGCGGTCCTCCTGCCTCAGCCCCCTGCGTGCACGCACTGCCACGCCTGGCTGGAATTGTCTTTGGGGGTGGGAAGGAGGCTCGAGGTGTTCAGTCCAGGTCGTTCTCAGGGGAAGGAGCAGGGAGAGGCAGCCCCCCTCAGGCTGCACAGCAGGCCAGGTTAAGCCTAGCCTCATCCCCAGTCTTCCACCAGTTGACACTGCCAGCACCACGTTATTTTGCATCCTATGCAAGCAAGAATACCTGCCGGCTTTCCCCCCACTCAGCGATCATCTAAATCCTTTATCCGGAGTCCAAAGTCAGATGGGGCCAGATGAGGTGGCCCATGTCTGTACTCCCATGGAGGCTGAAACAGGAAAGCTGCAAGTCTGAGCCCAGCCTAGGCAATTGAGTGACTTAACGAGATCCCATTTCAAAATAAAAAAAGGGCTGGGGAAGTAATTCAGTGTGAAGGCCCTGGGTTCAGCTCCAGCCAAGAAAAAATGAAAGTCATGGGTAGAAGCGCTGAGCAGTTTGTGTCCTATTGGAGCGTAGAATCCTACCATGTTGGACATTAGTGCCTCTCGCTGGGCGTTGTTACCATTATCACTGCTTGCTTTTCTGTTTTAGGGAAGGAAGGTCGCTGTCAGAAGGAAGCGCGTCCTCCTGCGGCTCATGGTGCTTCCTTCGCCTCTCCTCTTCCTAAGCCGGAAGTGCTGAGTCAAAGGCTGCCGCTGTCCTTCCTCAGCACAACAGACTTTGAGTTACCTGATGCAGATTTTGGGTCTCTTAAGCTTGAAAAGCTGAAGTCCTGCTCTGAAAAACCCAGCAAGCCTCTTGGCTCAAAAATGCGCAGAGAGAGACATCTGAAAGAGAGAAACAGTGCTCCGCAGGGCCTGATGCCTAAGCGGATAGGTGCAGTGGTACAGGACTTGGAAGAGGACCTGGGTGTCCCAGAAGAAGCGCATCCTCAAATGCCAGACCAGCAGTGCCAGTCCACAGACAAGAGCCTTTCCTCCTCCATACTGCTTTTCACTTCTTTAAATACCTCAGTGCCTGACAGTAGTGACCCGCCTGCTGCAGGCCTGTGTTCGCCCGCTTTCCCCATCGTAGGCCCTACTCCCGCCTGGGGCTCCCAGGCAGACTCAGGAAAGCTGTCTGCTGAAGGGGGACAGACGTGCGCTGGTCCGCAGCCTTCTCAGATGCAGTGCACAGCCGCCGTTGCCAGAGATGGTGAACTGTGTGGCCATTTAGCGGGCCCATCGCTGCTGGATGCCACCTGGCAGATGGCAGACAGGCAAGGGCAGCAGGCCTGTGACAGTGACTCTGGCCTCCCAGCAGCACCACCCCCTGAGCTGTTTAATGCCAGAGAAAATGAGCCCTGTGGAAGTTCATGCCTGGCGTTGCGTGAGTGTTCCCCTCAACAGGTACAGTGGCAGCTTTTTGTTTGTTTTTGGTTTCGAGGCAGAACCTTGCTAAGTAGCTCACACTGGCCCAGAATTTGCTGTAGTTCCTAGGCTGGCTTCAAACTTCTCCTGCCTCAGTCTCCCGTGTGCTGGGATTACAGGTGTGAGTCACCGCACCCAGCAGTGGCTTCTTCTATGACATCTTTTCTGAAAGAATGAATTACCATAAAGAATATGGAAAGTGTGACAGCCTCAAGTTGGCCTGTGGTACTGGGAATACTTTAACATGTTTCTTTGACATGCCTTTGTTGTAAACATTTAGCTTCTGCTGAAGAAATTGAAGTTAATTAAAATATATATTTTTGGGCTGGGGAGATAGCTCAGCAGCATAAGCGCCTGCCTGGCAAGCAAAAGGTCTTGAGTTCAAACCCTGGTACCTAAAAATTAAAAAATGAAATAAAGTATGTAGTTTTAAATGTGAAGGGGTCCTAATTTTTCATCAGTGAAACTGTTGCATGTGGAACTTTGGTGCGATGATCGAAATGACCAGCGTGGTGGAGTTCTTGGTGTGTAAGGAAGGTGGGCCGACGCGACAGGTAAGTGTAGCTTAGGGTGTGACCTTGTTTCCACAGACCGAAACGGCGGATCTTCCTGTAGGCAACAGCCTCGACGCGGGCAGCCTGCAGTTGGTTTCACAGTTAAAGGTCAGAAGAATATTTTGTTAATCATGTGTCTTGTATCTTACGTGTAACATACTTCATTAGTAAGCAGTTTGAGAAGAATTGGGTCCTGTAGCTTCCTGTCCTCTGTGTGTGTGCGCGCGTGTGTGTGTGTTGTTTCTGAGTTTGAATCCAGGGCCTTCACACTGAGCTGCATCCCCAGCCATTCATTTCTCTCCTCTCTTTTCTTTTTGCCTCAGGGTCTTACTGTGTCACTGAGTGGCCCAGCATGGGCTCAAACTTGTAGCTCTCCTGCCTCAGCCTCCCGGAGTGGTAGGATTTCAGGTTTGCGCTACCAGGCAGGCCTGGAGTGTCCTGCTTTTTAGTACTATGAAAGAGTAAGCAGAGTCAGAAAAGTAGATTTGAAACCTTTCATAACGTTGCCTGTGCTGAGGTTCCGAGCTCTCCTGCTGAACCTTTCGTGTCAAGCTATTGCAAAGGACCCTTTGAGCTAAAGAACTCAGTTAGCATCTCAATTCAAGTCAGGCCTTTAACAGAGTGAGCTGGGAGTCACCCATGCCTCTGCTCTCCAGATGATCTAGTGTTTCTAAGAGAAGCACTTATGGCAACTTCAGGTGGGTAGCAGTGCTCCATTTTGGTGTTGTGGATGGTCCCTCCTCGCAGTGTGGTAAGCCAGAAATGTCTCCAGACCTTACTGAGTGGCCTTGGGATGGGGGTGGGGCGTGACGCCTCTCCAGCTGAGAGCCAGTGGCCCAGAGGGAAGAACTTCAAGTCCATGTGACGTGCTTCCGCCAGAGACCAGCTGGGAAATTGGCCGCCTCCGAGCTCTGGAGTCCTTTTCTAGAGAAGGCACATAGTGCCGAGGCAGTGCTCCAAGCCTGCCAAGGTGGGTGCAGGCCGGCCTGCAAACTTCACAAGACCCTGCCTCAAATGAGAAAGGGCTGGGAATGTAGCTCACTGATTCAGCACCCCTGGGTTCTTTTCCCAGTGCCACCAAAAAAAAAAAAAAAAAAAAAAATTTAATTCAAATAAAAGATACATAGTGGGCCAGGGAGATAGCTCAGTAGAATAAGCACCTGCTAGCAAGCTCAAAGTCCAAGTTCAATCCCCAGTACTGCAAAAAAACCAAAAGATTCATAGTAATACCTAAGCGCTGATGCTTTTCCACGCTATTCTTGAGTCAATTTTTTTTTTTTTTTTTTGTACTTTCGGGAAGGGTCTACAGGGTGTTCAGGGTCTCACTACTAGAGTACACTCACAGTGATTCACCTGTTTACTCTTTAGTCAATTTTAAATACTTTAGATTAATGTTCATAAATGGTTAAGTGTGGCGCTCTGCAGGATTCGCTACACAGTTCCCTCCCAGACTGCATCCGAGTCTGTTGTGGTGGACAACAGCTCTTGTGCTGTTCTCCTTTTAAGACAAACATGTTTGGGGTTGGGGAGATGGCTTAGTAGGGTAAGTGCTTACCGGGCAAGTGCAAGGGACTGAGTTCAGTCCCCAGTTCCACCAACAAGAATAAAACAAAGATGTTGCCAAATAGCTCAGCCGATTGAAGGGCCTGCTTAGGCAGACGCAGTGGCCAGGGTTCAATCCCCAGGGCTGCTGTGCTGGCCCTGCCCCTGGGGCACCCTGAGGCCGATGAGACTGGACGTGGTGGCACGTTCCTGTAATCCCAGCGCTTGGGAAGCTGAACACAGGCAGATCACTACAAGTCTGATCTGCGTAGTAAGACCCTGTACACCCTTACTAATACAAAAAAAGACAAAGATATTAAGGCATGGGTTGTTTCTCCTAAACTAAAACCTCAGTATTCGGGTTTAGCCACAGCACTGTCTGTGCCGCGAGTGGGTGGGCTTGGGTTGCCGCTGGGCCCTCATCTCTAGAAGGTTCGCCGGCACCGGTTGTTGCGTGTGGTTTCAGTTACTCCCTGAGTGGTTCATCGGGGTGTGTACTTTCCAGATGGCTAAGTTTGTATGGGATTTTTTTGTGTGGTGAGACTGATCTGTCCCATTCTGGACATTTTAAGTCCATCATTATATGAGTGTGCACAGGCGATTTTTGATAGTGTGTAAGGCCCACAAAGCTTTTTCCTTTGACCTCTGTGAAACTTTGATCTTAATTACTTAGTATTTTATATAAGCCTTGCAATTCTTTGCTTTTCATACTTACTCTTCAAAACGGGCCAGGGAGATAGCTCAGTGGCCTAAGTACCTGCCTGGCAAGCTCAAGGTTCCAAGTTCAATCCCCTGTACTTCAAAAAAGGAGACAAAAGAAGAAGAAATTTAAAACACACACCTCGGGTATCTGCTTAACATAACCTGTGTTGCCACCCTGTGTCAGAATCCTTCAGGTTCCTGCTCCGTGGATGTGAGTGTCATGTGGTGGGAGGAAGCTGGATTGAGAGAGCCGTGTGTCGTGACTGCTTGTGAATATGTCGTTTCTCTTTGGAAACATGTGGACCCTTGTCAGTGGGAAAAAACTCAGACGTGGACCTTCGCGGAGGTAAGTCAGAATCTTGGAGCAGAAGGACATCTCTGTGGTCACTTGAGTGACGAGAGAGTGGACAGCACAGCAGGATTGCCGTCTGGCCCGGCTTCCTGCGTCTTAAAGCGAAGAGGCATGGCGAGCGCTCCTCTGCCCCCGCCTGGTCCACCGTAGACTTGCGCTTCTGGAGCATTGCCACGTGTGTATCCAGAGGCGGGCTGGACAGCAGACCTATGGGGGAGCAAGGAGGTGTGGTGTTCTGGTGTTTAGGCTGGCCGTGCACCGGAGCATTATTTCTGTTTCTTTTCTCCAAGTGCTTCTTGCTAGTCCTCCCTATTTATTTATTTATTTATTTATTTGGTAGAGGGTTTCACTGTGCAGCCTGGGTGGGTAGCGATCCTTCTTCTCGGCCCCCCAGCGCTGGGATTACAAGCGTGTGCCACCACTGCCAGTTTGGGGCCAGCAGGGCATTGAACTCAGGTCCTTGTGCTTGCCAGGCAGGTGCATGGACTGCCAACTGCCTCCCAGCCCTCCTTGTAGCCTCTGTCTACCTTCATCCGTATTTTTCATGGTAGCAGTCATGGTGTGCTTAGGATTTTTCTCTCTGGCTTTCCCTATATGTGCGTCTATGTGTTCTTCACACCTGCTGATGCTTCAGCCCTGCTCCGCTGTGCTAACAGCCTCCGGGGCTGTGCTTTCCCAGAGGAGCTCGATAAATACTTCTTTAGGAAGTGACTGTGGTCTTGTGCGTTAATCTAGGTGCTGCGGGTTGAACCTAGGCCTTGTGTGTACTAATCACGCTCGCTTACCACTGAGCCGCACTCCTAGCCCCAAAACTTGATCGGGTTTTGCTCTGCTCTTTCTTTTTTTAAGAGATGGGCATCTCACAAGGCATGGTGCACACCTGTGATCCAGCACTCTGGGAGGCTGAGGGAGGGTTGCAAGCTCTGGCCCAACCTAAACAATTTAGCAGCTCAGTGAGACGCTGTTTCAAAATATAAAAAGGAAAAATTAAAGGATAGTGATGTAGCCCCTGGGTTCAGTACCCTCTGCCCCTCCCCCGACACACAGAAGGGAACAAGAGATGGAGAGACGGAAGAGGGTTGTTGGGTGTAAAAGAACCAACAACATGTACACACTCCCTCCAATGGATATAATCATGTACCATTAATATGCACTATAAAAATTTTTAACTAAACTGGAGATCTCTAACCAAGGTTTCATTTTTATCTCTGCTTTCAGTCATTAGTGTCAAAACTATTCTGCCTCTTTCATGCAGGAATGTATTGAAGGTCGATAAAAGTAGTCAGCCACTTTTGGGGGGTTGCAGGATGCAGAGACTTCTTTATTTTCTAACTTTTTATTTGTGTGGTGGTATAGGGTCTCACCACCCAGGAAGTACACTTTGTACTTAGGTATTTTTGCCATGCCGAGAACTGAACTTAGGGCCTCACACATGCTAGGCAAGTGCTTCCAGCTCAATGTGTAATTTTTTTTTTTTTTTTTGGCGGAACCGGGGGTTGAACTCAGGCCCTTGCGCTTGCCAGGGAAGCGCTTATTCCACTGAGCCATCTTCCCGGCCCCTTCAATGTGTAATTTTTGTATACACATTTTGGTTTTGATTAATTACTAATTTAGTGGTACAGAGGAGCAAACTCAAGGGTGCTCTCCCATACAGCTACATCCTCTGTTCTTTGTTTTTAGGCAAGGTCTTGCTGAGTTGCCTGGGCCGGCCTCTTCAGTTGTGGTCCGCCTGTGTCAGCCTCCAGGTCACTAGGATCACAGGCCTGTGCCAGTGCACCTTGCCCCGTTTATAATTTTTAATGGCTGTGTGATGTTCTCTTCATTTGCTTGCTAGAATTCACCTAAGTTTGCCCTGTTGTTAGAAGCAGAGATTGCCTTTGAGGGGAGGGCTAAGGTGCAGGTGCTGTGCTGTGCGCGGATGTTCCAGCTGCTTAAATTGTCTGCTTTGTTCACACAGGTTCCGGTGTTACAGATAGTCCCAGTGCCTGATGTTTATAACCTTGTGTTTGTAGCCTTGGGAAATTTGGAAATCAGAGAAATCAGGTACGTAAACTTACTTGCCTTTATCTTTGTTGGCTTGTTTTGAATTCATATTCAAAATAAATCTTCAAGTGAGAGCCAGTCTTGATGAATCTGAATTTAGATTTCAAAGAGGTTTTTGTTTTTATAACAAAAATAAATAAAATGACATCCCTGATCGAAGTTTTAACACGTGCGTGCGGACTAGCAGGCTCACTCCTCACTGCTGCCGTGTTCTGTGATTGCTTCAGGGCACTGTCTTGCTCCTCAGATGATGGCGGTGAGAAGCAGCAACTGCTGAGATCTGGAACTGTGAGAGCTGTGCTCGGCCTGCCGAGGAGGAGGCTCGTCAGCAGCGGCGGCGGCGGCGGGGCAGGCTGTGATCAGCAAGTAGAGGTCGTGACCCTTGCAGAAGGAGCAGGGTAAGAAAACTCGGGGCGCAGTAGCACGATCTGCGGGGAGAGCGGACTTCTCGGCTCTTGTTTTTCTGCCATGAGAGTCGCATAGTGTGCCTCAACTCTGGGTGACACTCCAGAAGCAGGTTAGAGGTGGGAGCTCGTCGTGGCAGGGAAGGGATCCGCAGAGTAAGGAGGCTGCTGCGTGTCCTGTTTTGGCCCCCTTTGCCGGCTCTGTGTCTCTTCCTTCAGCAGTAGAAGCACCTTTCCTCGTTCCACGTGTGGTGGCTGCTCTGGCTCTTCCTTGAACCCTAGGCCCGCATACTATTGGTTAGGCACCTGTGGATGACTCCAGTTCACCGTATAGACAGCTGAGCTCAGAGCATCTCCTCTAGCTGCCACATCATGAGAGAGAGAGAGAGAGAGAGAGAGAGAGAGAGAGTGTGTGTGTTTGAGCCCTGAGCCTCGGGCTGCTAAGTGTGTGCTGTCCCCCTGAGCTACACCTCCAGGCCACCTTTATTATTGCTCATCCGTGTTTCCTAGCAACAGACTTTGGGTCTTGTTTTGGTTTTTGGTGGGACTAGGCCTTTGCACTGAACACATCCCCAGCCCTTGTTTATTTTTCATTTTGAGAATGTTCCTGAGTTGCCTAGGCTAGCCACAAACTTGTGATTCTCCTGCCTCAACCTCCCAGAGTGCTGGGATTACAGGCATGTACCACCACACCCAGCTGAGAAAGGAGGCTTTGTTTTTTTTTTTTGGTGGGGGGGGTTGGTACCAAGGATGAAACTTCGAGTCTTGTGCTTGCTGGGCAGGCACTGCACCACTGAACTTTATCTGCAGTCTGAAAATGAGATTTAAAGAGAAGTTTAGAGGTTAATATTGGATGAGATAAATCTGAGGTACTTGCAATGTGTCCAAGTAGATATAATGTGAAAGAATTATATGTTCATTTGTAGAAAGATTGGGATACATATTTTCTGTTTTGGAAATATATATATGTATATACACACATGTATTTTGGTGCTAATCTTTGTTGTGTGTAGTTTTGTTATGCATAGTGTTGCTGTGTGTTGAATAGCTATTTAGAAACTGCTTTGGTACAAAGTACTTACTTTTAATACTTTTTTAAAATGCAGAGGCAAGGAAAAACAATTTTTGATGTCCCCCGAAGAAACTATTCTGACTTTTGCTGAGCTCCAAGGGATGCAGGAAGCTTTGCTCGGTTCCACTGCCGGGAACAGCTTTGTCATCTGGTAAGCTGTCCTCCGCCCTCAGGCCCCTCGGCTGTCCAGGAGGACGGGCCTTCAACTGCACAGGGCTGTGGAGATCAGGGAAGAGACTGCCCATAAATGTGATGGTGGTTATTTTGTGTTTTACTGTCAGATGCTATATACTTTTGAAAAAGATTAATCTGCGTAGGCTGTTTTCATAAAAATGGAATTTTATTGTCCAAGTTGCAGTCATTTCTGCTTAATGACAGTAGCATCTGGCAGATGAGCCTCCCATTTCTAATAACCGCAAGCTGTAGACAGAATATAAAAAGTGACTCTCCAAAGGCACCAGAGCAGGAAAAGAAGGAAGACCGTGGCGGGGCTTTCCACACCTAGCAGAGGTGGGGCCAGTGGTGGTGGCCCTGCCCAGCTCCTCCCCGGGAAGCTGAGGCAGGAGGATTGTGAATTCAGGGCCTTCCTGGGCAATTGAGTGAGACCCTGTCGCAAAAAGGAACAGCTGAGGGTGTAACTCGTTAGCGTGCTCACCATACACAAAGCTCTGGGTTCAGTCTCCAGCCCCCACGAACCCCCCACAAAAGAGGAAGGGGACAAAATGGAACTGAGCAAATTTCTTGATCCTATGGCTTTAAGCCAGGAGAAGGGTCCCAGTCTGACCACTGGGTGGCTACGGGCCCGCTAAGTGGAGGACCCCGTCCTACCGGCTGCAAGTACAGTGTTCAGAGCAGCCCCGGCAGCTGGGAAGGAAGAGATTAAAGGCCCGAAAGGAGAAAGCCAAAAGGAAGGGAGCTGTGTGCTGAGTATAACCACCCAGCTTACCCAGCTGGGCCCAGCACGGCGTGCCGGGCAGACTTGGTGCAGCGCGGGAGGGCTGAACTGGAGCCGCAGCGTTTGAAGTTTCGGTTCAGGTTAACTGTTTACTTGAACAAACAAAAACCAGTGTTCTTCAGGGGAACCTAGCTTTTGTAATGTATTGTGCCTAAGATGCAATTTAATATACACACACAGTTATAGGAACCAAATTAGTTAACAACTTCGTGATAAGGTAACCACGGTTGCCGCCGCTTTGCTGACTGCAGGGTAGAACTCTATTTCTGTCTGAAAATAAAAAACAGCCCAGGCCTGAGGATGCATACCTGTAACCCTAACCCTCTGGAAGGCTGAGGCAGGGGGATCTCAAATTTGAGTCAGTCTGGGGAAGTTAGCAACACAGCAAGAACCTGTCTCCACAAGAGAGGACCCTGGATGTGGGTCAGCGTGAAGGCCTGGGCTCAATCCTGCGTACCGAAGGCAAACAAGAGGTGATGGAAATCTGTTCTCAAGCACTGTGGTTTTGCTTTGTTTCTGACACAAGGCCTCATTATGCAGGTTAGGCTGGCCTTGAACCCGCTTTGTAGTACAGGCTCTTGCCGCAGCCTTTGCTGGGATTCCAGGCATGCACCCCTTGCCCTGCCTGTCAAGGAATTTGGGGACATTTATCCCTGGGAGATCAATAGATTCAGTCTAAGCTATTAAATCACACTGTTCGCCTGGAGTTCTGCGGATCGCTAATCTGTGAGGAAACAAACAGAAGTACCTTTCCCTTCCTCCTTCCCCTGGTTACCCCCAAGAGGGGCTGTGATAAGCGAACTGCTTTTGTGAAAGCCATTTTTGCTGGGAGAATGCCATCAACTGTTCTTTTTCTTTTCTTTCTTTCTTTTTTTTTTGATGTCTAAGGAATTTAAAAACTGGTCAACTCCTGAAAAAGATGTCCATTGATAATTCTTACCAGGCCACAGTCTGCCACAAAGCCTACTCTGAAATGGTAAGTAACCCTGTGGGACCACTGCATGTCTACTTCGTGTGATTATTGGTCTCACCAGTGGGGACAGTATCCATAGTAATTAACAAACCTTCCTTGTTGCTTACGTTTTGAAGTTAATTAAAATGTTATGGCTTAGGGCTGGTGAGATGGCTCAGTGGTCTAAAGCACCTACTTAGAACAAGCTTAGCAAAGCACAGGGACTGCGGTTCAATCCCCCAGCACCACATGCCAGCCAGCCCCGCCCCCGGTGGGCTGAGCTGGCCACACACACACACACACACACACACACAAATAAATAAAAATTTAAAAAAAAATGTTATGGCTTACCAAATTTGGGGCTGTATGGCTTAAAAACAAACACTTGTCCACAGCTGAGACTCTGCCCTAAGAAGTGTGCCTTGTATGAGAGGCATATTTCTATCCAGGGAAATGTGTGTTGACTCCAGCCACATTGCTATAAAGGGCCTACGCTACGGAGGAGGCTGCTGCCCGGGTGAGGGTCCGGCACATGCTTCTCTCTTGGGACTTACTGCTCTCAGCGAAGCCAGCAGACTTCGCCTGCTTCCCAGCGTTGACATCCGAGCTGGTTGGAGGCGTTGTCCAAGAATGAAGACGACTACCTGCGAGGCCACACCTGAAGTCCCAGGTGGAGACACTGGTGACAGGCTGGTGCTGAGCAGAGACCGGTGGTTCTGGGAGGACGCCTGCACCCAGACTCAGCACTCAGAAAGCAGCTCTCCTAGCCTCAGGAACTGTGGACTGACCTAAACAGAGAAGTTATGTGAGCAGAGAAAAGTCTGCGCCATAATCCCAAGAAACACAGACTGTTAGGGGTTGGAGAAATAGCTCAGCAGCATGAGCGCCTGCCTGGCGAGGGCAAGGGCCTGATTCAATTCCCAGTACAAAAACCCCGTGTTTTTAATCCGGTGCTTGAACTTGGGATTTGGACTGAGCTATAGCCCAGTCTGCATCCCCTCCCACGTCCTGTTCCGTCTTGTCCCACCCATTCCATTTTGAGCACAGCCCTACCAAGTTGCTACGTTGCCCGTGCTGAGCTCCAGCTTTCGCCCTTTCTGCCTCAGCCTCCTGAAGGGCTAGCATTCTAGGCCACCATGCCTGGCCATCACATAATGCTGAGCCTAATTCCTCTCATCCTTTAAATAAAAGGGAATTAAATTTCTCCTTAGAATTCAGTTAATGTGAATTTAATTTTATCTTTTGTATTACAACATTAATATTTACTTGATATTGAAATATTTCACATAAGGGCAGGCATGGTGGTGTATGCCTATAATCCCAGCATTTGGAAGGCTAGGCAGGAGGATCACTGGACTATATTTAAAAAGAATAATTTAACACAAATATTTATTTGTTTGTTTGTTTTTCCGGTATTTAGGGTTTGTTTGTTTTTCCGGTATTTAGGGTCTACAGCGTCTCACTATGTAGGTTGGACTCATACTGATTCTCCTGTTTTTAGCCTCCCAAAGCACTGGGATTACAGGTGCACACCACTGTGCCTAGTCTCAATCGCCATCTCAGTGTGCCTTGGGAGTAGGGCTGGCATGGCACTCCGGGGATTGAACCTGACACTGCGCTCTGCCTAAGCAGGCGCTTTAGTCCACTGAGCTCTCAGGCCAGCCGCTAACACAACTATTTAGATAGTAACAGCCCCCCACTTAACCTTCACAAATAGTTTTTTGTTCTTCATTTACTTTGCAATACTAGGGATTAAGCCCTGGGCTTGCATTTGCTGAGAAAAGCAAGGGTTCTTCCACTGAGCTGCACACCCAAACAGTGGTTTATTACTTATTACACTGTTGTTTGCTACAGGGATTCGCATGCTTTTTCCCTAAAGGACCAGAAAAGAAATATTTTCAGGTCCACTAGAAATACATTCTCTGTTGTAAATACTGTACTTCTCCATCACGGAACAAAATCAGCCTCAGATAATACAATAGTTTTGGCTGCATTCAATTCAGTTTATAGAAAGTAAAATTTGAAGTTCATTGTGAATTCAAGACCAGCCTGAAGTGCATAGTGAGACCATATTTCAAAAAGACAAAAACAGGGCCAGCAAATAGCTCAGCAGAGTAAAATGCCTGCAAGCAGGCACAGGGACTGGGGTTTTGAATCCTGGGCCTGCCCTGCCAGCCCCGCCCCCAGGGTGCACTGAGACAGCAATTGAGACTGGACATGGTGACATGAGCCTGTAATCCCAGTTCTTGGGAGGCTCTACACAGGCGGATCGCTATGAGTCCAATCTAGTAGTGAAACCCTGAACACCCCGTAGACCCTTCCCTAAAATACAGAGAGAAAAAAAAAAAAAGACCAAAACAAAACCCCCCAAAAAACACCAGTATTTCTGGGGATGAACAGAGTACTATTCATTTTCTGATTTATTTTTTCAACTGTTTCAAAATATCAAAAACATTCTTAGCTCATGGGTCACACAAAAATGAATGTTAGGCCAGAGTTGGCCTTTGGATTGTAGTTTTTAAACCTTTATTAAATGTATGGTGTTTAACATTTTAAAATTCTCAGTGGTTTTCTATATAGCAAATTAATTCGGCTAGGCATAGGGGTGCACTTGGGAGGCTGAGACAGGATCACACGAATTTGAGGCCAGCTTGTGCCACAAAGGGAGCTTGAGGCCAGCGTGACTACAGTGAGACCCTGTCTCAAAAACCATTGAAGGCCTGGGTGATAGCTCTGCAGTCTAAGTGCCTGCCTGACAAGCACAGGTACCAGCGTTTGTTCCCTGGTACTGGTACTGGTACTGGTCCTGCATACTGTGCTGGCCACTGAAACCGGGTGTGGTGACGCAAGCCTGTAATCCCACCACTAGGGAGGCTGACAGGAGGATCATTACGAGTCCAAGCTGCGTAGTGAGACCCTCTATCAAATAAATAAATGAAAGATTAAAAAATTTTAAAAATTCCTTCTGGCCAAGTGCAGTGGCACACACTCACAGTCCCAGCTACTCTGAAGGATGAGGCAGCAGGATCATACATTTGAGCCTCATGGGTGTTACGTAATGAGACTGTCTAAAATTGGCTGGGGGTGCTAGGTGTGTGTGCAGGGCCCTGCTGCTTACGCGTCCTCTGCCTACGCCGATGTCTCCGTGATGCGGAGCGCTGGTGTGTGCAGGGCCCTCTGATGCGTGGCCAGGCCCTGCTGCCTGACCGGGCCAGGAGACCTGGAGGTGTGGCCTGGTGACTCCCGGTGACTCCCGCTAGCACCTGTCTGAACCAGCGGCTGGTCCTGGGAACTTGGCTTTCTCGCTGCCAGCCTTCTTTCAGTGGTTATTTGGTTATTTTTCTCCTCAATCAGGGGCTCCTGTTTGTTGTCCTGAGTCATCCCTGTGCCAAACAGACTGAGTCCTGGGGCAGCCCTGCATTTGAGCTGGTCGTGATCAACCCTAAGACAACCCTGAGCGCGGGCATGATGCGGTACTGCCTGCCCCCGGGGCAGGCTGGAAGGCAAGTGTGCAGCCGCCTCCCGGGGGTGTCACTTGAGACGCGTGCACGAGGTATTTTTGTGTCATTCTGATAAATGGAGTGCATGAACCAACACAGACCCAAGTAAGAATGTCCCGAAGCAGGATGAAGACTCACTGGTTTGAGTCAGACCCCGATTCCCTGTGTCCTGACCCCCAGCAGTGGGCGGTTAGGTGTCTTCCCCGGGGAAGATGCTCTAAAGGCACAAGAGCAAGGAATGTTTTCTGCAGTAGTGTCCAGTATGTGCTCTTCTCATCCATAGCGTGAGGAGCTTGTAAAGGTCCCTAGCGGAACACCTTTGCCTTGAAATCTGATGGGGCCTCCAGGGCGCAGGCAGGCAGTCGTCGCTTAGTCCTTGGCCAAGTCTAGTGACACAACTGTTAGCATACCGAGAGCTTTCTGAGCCGTACAGAATTTGGAAGAAGTGCTGGAATTATCAGAAAGAAACATCTGAACGTGTAAGTCCTAGAGGCTCCTTGTATTAATGTTTGAAATTCAACAGCAAGGATGAAAAATAGACAAAATAATCAAGATCAAGTCCAGCTTTAATAACTCAAAAGATAAACGTCCCAGTTACAGTGCATGTCTCTTCGGGCCTTGTGCAATACGTGCTTGTTTTCTCAGCCAGATGTGGCACTTCTGTAAATATGCTTATCAAGAATGTCAGAATTTTAGGGCCGGCCAACTACCTCAGCGGATTAAAGCGCCTGCAAGCAGCCGCAGGGGCTGAGGTTCGATCCCCAGGCCTGTTGTGCCAGCCCCACCCCCGGGGTGCGCTGAGACAGCAATGGAGACTGGGCGTGGTGGTGTGTGCCCGTCATCCAAGCACTTGGGGGACTGTAAACAGGAGAATCACTCTGAGTCCGATCTAGTAGTGAGACCCTGAACACCCTGTAGACCCTTCCCTAAAACACAGAAAAAAACCTTTCATTTGCTTAGACAGGGTCTATATGTTTGTTGATGTTCGTTTTTGTTTTTTGAGACAGGGTCTCACTGTAGTTGAGGCTGGCCCCAAGCTCCTGATGATCCTCCTGCCTCAGCCTCTTGAGTGCTAGGATTACAGGCATGCGCTACCACACCTGGCTGAATATAAAGAGAGAAACATACTCATTGTCTTAGAATGGGGGTAAGGTAGCTACTTGATCAAATATTTATTTTGTCATTTTTCACTTTATTGTGTCATTTTTTGTGTCAAAACTGTATGAAACATCTCTTAGTCCATCTGGGATACCATAACAAAACCCCAGATAGGGGGTCGGGGAGATGGCTCAGTGGAATAAGTGGTTCCCTGGCAAGCGCAAGGGCCTGAGTTCAATCCCCGGTTCCGCAAAAAAAAAAAAAAAAAAAACAACCCAGATAGTAGGCAGCGTACAAAAGCTAGACATGGCTGAGCTGGGCCGTCCGAGCACGTGCGGGATGGGTTCCGTTCCCAGTAGTGCATGCTGCGCTGGCCTGAACCGGCGTGGTGGGGCACACCTGCAGCCCCAGCGCTGGGCAGGCTGAGACAGAAGGATCACTGGGGGCCCGACTGCGTAGTGAGACCCTGTGCCAACAAAACAAAAATAATTTAAGATAGTTGTACATTTCTTACAGTTCTGGAAGCTAGGCAGTTCAGGACCAAGGCAGGCCGGCAAGTGCGCTTCCTGCTCCTAGGTGGCACTTCTCGCTGCGTCCTCAGCAGCGAGCCAGAGCACAGCTCATGCTTGGAGCGCTCTCCGCGAGCTGCGCAGGGCTGTGTTCACGTGGGCCGTCTCATTCAGCAGCACAGCAGCCCCCCGAAGCACTCTTATCAGGGCCCTCTCTTGCTGCGGAGATGAGCTTGTCCGTGTCACACAGCTCTCGCTGTACACTCAGAATTCAAGCCCATGCAGTCAGCTGCCGTGCTGTTGTCTTTAGAAGACACATTCCTGCTTCATGCTATTTACGTTTTCATGGGGGGGGGGTGCCCACTAAACACAAAAACCAGATAATCTTACTGTGGAAATGGCTGAAGAGAAGACCAGGTAGTATAAAGGGACACAGTGTACGTGTGTGTGAGCTTCATGTGGCTGACGTGGCCTAGTGGTGGCAGTGACAGCCTGAATGATGGCCGGAGCCCAGCCCTGTTCTGCCCTGAGGACAAAACCCACACAGGGAGAGAACAGCAAAAGCAGAGCCTCGGGCGCTGATGGGTGCTCCTGTGAGAGAGACAGGAAGTCGTGCGTGCGAGTGGGGACCAGGTGTGCAGTCGTGCCCCAAGCTGCAGCCCCCCAGTGGCTCTGCAGGGTGGGAAGTGCGGCCCTCGCAGTGGGGATTCTGTCCTCGGCAGTGCTTGGGCGGCCTTGCCTTTGCTTGTTGTGGTCTTGTTGTGCAAATCTGAGTTACCTTTCTCTGCTTGGCGTCAGGTTCCTAGAAGGGGACGTGAAGGACCACTTTGCGGCCGCTGTGTTGACTTCTGGAACAGTTGCCATCTGGGACCTGCTTCTCGGCCACTGCACTGTGCTCGCTCCTCCCAGCTCCAACCAGAGCTGGTCTTTTGTAAAATGGTCAGGGACAGACTCGCATTTGCTGGCCGGACAAAAGGATGGAAATATATTTATATACCGCTACTCCTAAGTTAAGAGGAAAACAGCCGTCTGAATTCAGCTGCCGCTTGGTCTTTCGGGAGTTAGCTGTAAAGGAGAGTGTTTCCTGGCAGTGGTGCAGCTGCTGATCCAGGGTGCTTGTTCACGCTCACCGAAGGGAGGCCTCGGGGCCACTTGTAATCCCCATGTCTGCATGTTTGCTTTCGAAGATGCACATAAAGGTTTGGATGCCCGTAAGTACTTACTGTGCGTTCTGCGTGGTGTGTCCTTTTTTCCCGTTCTATGCAGATCATTCTCAAAACCAAGAGTTGATTCCTGCACAACTAGAATGTTTCCTTAGGGCCAGCCAAATAGCTCAGTGTGTTAAGGTGCAGGCGAAGGGTCAGGGTTCGATCCCTGGGCCTGCTATGCCAGCCCTGCCGCCGGAGCGCGCTGAGTCGGCAGTTGAGACTGGGCGTGGTGGCGCGCGCCTGGAATCCCAGCTCTTGGGAGGCTGTAAACAGGCGGATCACTCTGAGTCTGATCTAGTGGTGAGACCCTGAACACCCTGTAGACCCTTCCCTAAAATACAAAAAAAAAAAGGTTCCTCAATGATGTTTGCACGGTAAGAGGACATGTCAGTTGACTTTGCACACTAACACACAATCCATTCTAAATGCTGTTTGTGTTACTTCACTTTGACTTCTATACTGAAAGTGATACAGAAACCTACTAAAATATCCTAATTCAGAACTACGTTACTCTGTTCGTCTCCACACGCATCTCGTGACCAGTGCAGGCGTTAGCACTGGAGCCACTGTGGACTCACTGGCACAGTTGTGCTCCTCCTGATCTTAGTCAGAAGGCCCGCAAGTGACGGTTTTACCAAGATCATCATCTTCCCCTTTGCTTAAATTGACTCTTTTTTTTTTTTTTTTTTTTTGGCAGAACCAGGGATTGAACTGAGGCCCTTGAGCTTGTCAGGGAAGCACTTACTCTACTGAACCATCTCCCTGGCCCCCTATTTATTTATTTATTTATTTATTGCAGTACTGGGATCCAACTCAGGAACTTGCACTTACTGGGCAGGTGCTTCTGCCTCTGAGCAATATCTCCGTGTGTTTGTTTTTTGAGACTGATGTCACTGTACTTGAAGTTGGCCTTGAGATCACCATGTTGTTACCTGTTGTAACTAGCAGTGCCGGGCGTGGAGGCACAAGCCTCTAATCCCAGCACTGGGGAGGCTAAGGCAGGAGATTTGTTGCAAGTTCGAGACCAGCCTTGAAGGCCAGCCTGAGCTGCATAGCAAGACCCCCGCCTCAAAAGTTAAAGTAGTATGTTATATTCAACCTGTGATCCAGCACTCAAAGGCTGAGACAGGAGGATTACCGCAAGTTTGAGGCCAGCCTGCACTACACAGTGAGACCCTGTCAAAAACAAAACAAAGCCAGGCATGGTAGTGCATACCTGTAATCCCAACATTCTGAAGGCAGAGTCAGGAGGATCCCATAAAGTTCCAGGTCAGCCCGGGCTAGAAAGTGAGTTCAAGGCTAGCCTGAACTGCATAGCAAAACCCTGACTCATAGGACAGGGACAGGGATATGGAGGGGGACAAGGGAAGGGAGGGGGAGGGCACTAGAAAGCTAAACTTCATTCTGTTGGAGAGCCGCCTCCCAGAGGGAGTGCAGGCACCCTGCATGACAAGCACTTACTGAGAAAAGCCCCACAGTTCTTTAATTTGTGTGCTTGTTACAGGGTCTCACGAGGCAGTTTGGGCTCACAGTGATCCTTCTGTTTTCAGCCTCCCCAGGGTGGGAGTACAGGCTTGTGCCCCACTCCCAAGCTAGGAAATGGATCAGATGTGTGTAGGCGGGACTGGGCCTCAGGGCCTAAAGCAAACAAGCACCTCCGTCCTGAGAAAACATCCTGTTTCCTTAAGGTCAGCTATTAGTCGCTAGGCAACCTTGTGTCTTATGTTACAAGGGACTGGCAACCGCCTAGCCCAGCTTTTGTCCTCTTGTTAGCAGTAAGAGCAGTGGATCCCTACGCTGGCGACTGAACTGCGGTCCCTGTGCTTGCCTAAAGCAGGTGCACAGTCGGATGCACTATCTCTGTCATTCCACAGTTCTTGAGATGGGTTATGTACAAGTGCCAGTTCCCTCCAATAATGGAATCCTTAGGTACTGCAAATGTGCACTAATAAAAAAATTTAAAACACCAAAAAACCATAATTCTTCTACTTCAGCTTTCCCAACAGGTGAGGTGAGAAGGCTCAAGGCCTGCCTCAAAACCTAAATTTTCTTTTTTGGGCTTTTTTTGAGACAGGGTCTGTTGTATGTTACGGGTCGGTGCCAAAAGAAACAACAAGAAGACCTGATGAAAGTAGCTTCGGAGGTCTCACCGGGAGATGAGTCTCTCCCCGAGTGAGCCCAGAGCCTCGAAGCATCTCACATTTATTGAGGGGTGAAGGGAGGCTAAGGAATGTGCGTAATTACCTAAGTGAATACAGCTACTATCTCTGTTAACTTCCACCATTTGCCTAACACTAGGCTCACCCAAATGCTAGCGGATGACATCCCAAGCGAGGGATCAAAGGACAGGGCGCCTGCCGGAGAAGCTGTTACCTGCAGCCTTGGGTCCCAGCTTGCCGGAATTTGCAAACAGATGGCAACTCTCCTCAGATTTTGTCTATTGTTTTTTGTTCTCTTGGGACATCAGGCTTTTGTCTCTGTATTTCTACAGGGTCTCACTGTGCAGCTCCGGCTGCATTGAGCTCACTTTGTAGCCCAAACTGGTCTTGAACTCGCAGTGATCCTTCTGCCTCAGTTTCCTGAGTGCTAGGAACACTGGCGTGCGCCACTATACCTTACTTAGTCAGAGTTTATAAATATATGTCACATATACATATATATGTTTATGCGTTTATATATGTTTGTATATAAACGTAAAATATATGTGAGTTTTGTTTTGAGATGGGGTCTTACTGTGTTGTCCACGCTGCCTAGAATTCCTGGGCTCAAGTCAGCCTCCTGCCTCAACCTGGGTGGCATGACGGGCACGCACCACCGTGCCCAGCTATTGGGCTTACTGATACATCTACTGATTTATTTTTATAATCTTTTAAAATTCGTTGGGGCCAGGGAGATGGCTCAGTGGAATAAGTGCTTCCCTGGCAAGCGCAAGGGCCTGAGTTCAATCGGTTCCGCAAAAAAAAAAAAAAAAAGAGAATACTCTATAATTCAGTTAAATATTCACCTAGTAAAGGATATTCCACACACTCTAGATCCAGCTGCCTCTGAAAAGGTCCCACCTATATAACTGCATGAACTTTGGAGGAACTTCTAGACACAAGTCATAACATATACTCTCTTCATCTCTTTGCCCA